ACCAATAAAATCTAATTTTTTATGTATTTAGTACAGGGTTTACAGATCAGACTCATAGTGATCCTCCTGTTTTCAGCCTCTGAAGTGCTGGGATTCCAGGCATGCACCACCATGTCCAGTCTCAATCACCCATCTCAGTGTGCCCAGGGGCAGGTGCTTTAGTCCACTGAGCTATCTGGCCAGCCCAACATCTGATTGTAGAAAATCAGATTATACTTCAGTAATCTGTCCTGTAATCACCTGTACAGGGGCTGGGGAGATGGCTCAGTAGAATAAGCATTTGCCTGGCAAGTGCAAGGGCCTGAGTTCAATCCCCAGTTTCGGAAAAAAAAATCACCTGTACATTTCTCACTGATCTTGTACATCTATACCACTTCATCCTAGCAACTGAAGTTCTCAATCCAAAGTACAAATGATCTTACAAAACATCACTTAAGTAAGGTTCAAAGAAGAGAGAGGAGACCATGTTTGTCTAGTTCCCCACCCTATCTCCAATGCCCACCAAAGAAAACCCTTAACCTGGTTTTACTGAGTGCCAATCACATACCAGTGCTAGTGAAGCCCTGGGATATAGGCTGGTCCCTGCTCTCTGAGACTAATACCATAAAGGAGACTTAACAGGAGCCAGGAGAAAAAAGGAACAGAAAACAGGCTGGTGTGATAGCTTAAGAGTTTGGGAAAGACAAGATTCATTCTTGTTCCTCCAAATGGTCACATGATCACCCTCTCGCCAACAGCCAGGGGTCTGCTCAAATGTTACTCAACAACAGAAGGCCCTCTGACCTGTAATATTAAGACAGGTAATCCCATCACCTGCCACCCACCCATCTCTGCTGCTCATTTTCCTTCCATATCATCTGATTTCTTTTTCTTATTTTGTTACTAAGAATCGAACTCAGGACCTTGTGTTTTCCAGGGACACACTGGGCCACTGAGGCCAAGCTATAACCCGAGCCCTGATTTCTTTTTTTTTTTTTTTTTTGGCAGAACCGGGGATTGAACTCAGACCCTTGTGCTTGCCAGGGAAGTGCCTATTCCACTGAGCCATCTCCCCGGCCCCTTGATTTCTTTATAGAGTTCATCACTATTTGGAATTTTATTATTCACTTGTTGGGTTATCTATCTCCTGTCATTAAAACGAAAGTTACAACTGCTATGTGTGGTGTTGCACATTTATAAACCTAGAATTTGTGCCGAGACAGAAGGATCACTGAACCAGGAGTTTCTGTTCAAGGCCAACCTGAACTATATAATGGGACCTTGTCTCAATCCCGCCCTCACAAAAAGGTAAGTTCTATGAAAGCAGAACTTCATCTGTCTTGTCCACTGCTCTGTCCTTTTCATTGAGTATAGTAGCTAGGTCACAACAGACATTCCATATCACTTGGAGGAAGCAGAGATTTCCACTAGGAAAGTATACATGAAAGATATATTTTGTTAAGGCAGGGTCTCTCTATGTAGCTCAGGTTGGCCTTGAATTTGAGGTGAGCCTCTTGTCTCAGCCTCCCAAGTGCTAGGATTACAGGCTGAGATTTTACAGTGTGCCACCACCACAAGCACATCAACGATATTTATAGGAGATTCTCCTCACACAGAAGTGCCTTAATACATAAAAATAATTTAGAAATCATCTCAACAACAAAAAACAGAAATCAAGCTAGTTATAGCAATCAATAACCACAGAATTCTGAAATCTATGATGTCACAATGGAAGCATTAATTAAGCAATGATGCCAGGAAAGGACTTTCATCCACTACTCTTTGTAATGCCTCTAAAATTATATAGCTTTTTCTAGAATGTTCTGTGATTGGTTATAATTCACTCAAATAAAGGTCAACTCAATTTAATTTCTGTGCAAAAGACCAATACATGGGCACTAAGAATTATTTTCTATACTTAAACCTATAATAGATATATTTTTCTCAAGGTGGTGTGACTCAAACCTAAGGCCTCACGCATGCCAGATAAGTACTCCACTGAGCTATACACCCCACCTTGAAGCAGCTATTTTGAAAAGGCTACTGGTGGAGCTGGAATACAGTAATAAAATTACAAAGTGGAGTCACAAAGTGAAACTTGCACAACCAGTTCACTTATGCTAATGAGACTGTAAACTCAGGATAAACTCCCCTTCACTGGTAAGCTCTGCAGGACCTGGACACAGTACCAGGTACACAGTAGTTACCTGGAAAGTATTATTTTCAATTGAAAAGTAACATTGAAAGCCCACCCAAAAACTAAAGACCTGCTAAATTTTTAGGAGGAAAAAGGAGGCCTTTGGGCTCCACACTGAACCAAAAACGTGGTCTAAAGAGAAACAGAAGCAGCTGCATAAAAGTGGTAGTTTCCTTTGCATCCTGGAATACTTCAAAAAATGGATCTAGCAACATTATTAACTTTTACTCCTCCAAATCCTGTTCTGAACTTGGACTCAATCTTGGAAATCATCAAAGAGGAGCAATCTAGTTAGTAGTGATCAATAAATGGCAAGCTAGCAGAAGAGCTGATGAGCTCTGCTGCATGCTTCTTTTTGCCTATTTATTTTCTGCAGTGAACAAGCACTGCTTTTGTAAAACCGAAACAACAACAAAAAAAAGCTTTCATAAAAAAAACAAAAAAGACATGTAAGCAAATAAGTAGGACAACTATTACTTTTTCCCCTTTCTCTAAACATTAACAGTGCTGTGTTTGTGCAGAGATTCAACTGTCAGGGAACAATTGGCTAACAGATGCTTCACTCAGATGTGTTGTAGCCACAGATAAGGTGCTTTCCATTGGGAACAAGCCTGTGGGCAAATGCTTCACCATACAACAAGGCTTTGAAGTAAGCACGCAGAGCATGCCTCAAGGCCCCATTTCAGAAGCCTGTAGAAGACTTTTGTGCCCCACTGGACTAGATCAAGGGTGCACCCACATCTCCATGTCAGGAACTCTCTGATTCTCCTATCAATGGAGGACCTCAAAGAGCTTCAGATTATGAGAATGCTGTCTAGAGGTAGTTACTATGTTCTAAAACGAAAGCTGGGACACGAAGACACCACAGGAGCACCCGAGGCATCAGAGTGGTGATGTCATCACATATTATGTGGCTTCTGGAAAAGTCCACTGTAGGCTGGCAAATGGGTGAGTGCAAAGGATAAATACTTTCTCAGGATTGTTCTGAGACATTCTGGCCAGAAATTCCCAGAAAAGGTCCTGGACAATTAGGGGATAATCAAAACCCCTTTCAACACTATGGTTCTGAAGCAGGGTTTCTCAAGCTGACACTATTGTTTTGAAGTGTCCTATTCTTTGTTAAAAGGGGCTGTCTGGGGCCGGGGAGATGGTTCAGTAGAATAAGCGCTTCCCTGACAAGCACAAGGGCCTGAGTTCAATCCCTGGTTTGGCCAAAAAAAAAAAGAAAGAAATGAAAAAAAAATTTTTTTAAAAAAGAGAGGCTGTCTGTACTTGCAGGAAGTTGAGCAGTGTCACTGGGCTCTGTGTACATGAAACCAAAAGCATTCCCCCTCCCCCACGCTGACAACCAAAAATGCCTTCAGATACTCCTAAATATTCCCTGGTTGAGAGCCACGGTGCACTGGGGCACCGACTGTATTCTACTGAAATGTGAGTTATAAAATATTTACCACCCACTGCCTTCTCAGACCCCAACACCTCTATTTTCTCCCTATTCCCACCTAGATCTGTTCCTTCTGTGCTCTTAAGTCACAAACAGCAAGGGCCAGTGGGTAATAAGTACAGGATGAATCAGGTCAGGCAGACATTCTGGTCAAAGTTCACCTTTAGACATTAGAGCTGTTGCCGATCCACTGTCTAATAGGGCAGAGCACAGCACATTCACACAGCCATTCTTCTCACCAAATAGCAACCCAATCCTTAAGAATTGATGTTGTCGCTCCAAAAGCAGGAGGGAAGAGCCAAATGTATAATGGGGAAGAGAAAAACAAGAGACTTAACTATGAAGCCAAGAAAGTGTCATACAAAACTCGGATGCACAACCACCGAATCCTCCCAACTGGAAAACTCCCAACTGAAGCATGCGAGGGCTTTTTTGTCAGTGTGTGGCTGAAGTAGCAAAATTGCTAGAAAATCTACATCCTCAACACTTCCAAGTCAAATATTCACTTCCAGCAAGAGTTGTCCCTCGTCCGTTTAGTCTGCAGAGGTTAAGACCAAGTTTTTTCTCCTGAAAACTGCCCCGGCCAACCTAGGTCCCTTCACCCCTAAAACTCTGAGCAGCAAAACTGAAATCCAGCATCATTCCACATCCTTTGAATCGCCTCTTCTCCGCAGCCTCACACTGCTTCCCACCAGCCCCAGAAGAGAGTGCAGCGCGATGGTACATGCCTTATAATCCCAGAACTCCCAGCACTCGGGAGGCTGAGAACGGAAGATCACCGCGAGTTCGAAGGCAGCCTGAACTACTTAGTGAGTTCAGACCAGCCTGAACTACATACCTAAACCCTGTCTTTAAGAACAAGGAAAAGGAAAGATATCACTGTCGCGGCGCCCCAGACTCTCCGATCCGAGGCATCCTCCCTTCCCTCCGGCGACTTCACGCAGGCGGTCTTCTCTATCGATTTTTTCCCCCATCTAGTATTTCCCCCACCATCTTCAAAACTCTTCCCGATCCCGGGAAACCAAGACTGCCGTAACGATCTGTGCACCCCTCGGGACTGTGCGTAGCACCCTCTGGGACTCGATCCTCAGCGCGTGCCCCAGGAACTCCTACCCCCCCGCGCACCCTCGGCCCGCCGCCCGGCCTCCTCCCGCACGTCCACCTCGACTGCCCCTGGGAACTCTCGTGGGCCCGTCCGCCCCGCCACCCCTTGTCCAGGCCTTCTCTAGGTCCCTGCTCGCCTGCCCGGGGCAGCGACACCGCCCATTCAGCCGCCGAGCCTCTGAACCCCCGCCTGGCCGCTCTTTCAGGCTGTGTGTGGCCTCCGAACCAGCGCCCCGGGCCCAGGCTGAGTCTCCGCTGACGGGCCCGGCAACTCACCCAGGACGAGGCAGAGGAGAACAGGGGCGAGGCGGAAGCACAACATGGTCCCGCAGGGCAGTGGCGGCGGGAGAGCGGCGACACCAGCGTCAAGGCTCACGGGACCTGAGGGTAGAACTCAAGTGACCACCGACCAGGGCGCCGCAAATACCAGTACTCAAGGCTCCAGCCCGAGTCACAAGACCAGGGGCGGGGTTCATCCTCGCCTTCAGCCAATCCCCGCATCGGACGGTGGGGAGGGGGGTGAGGAGGGGACCGGTGGGCGGGGCGACCACGCCCTGGCTTTTTGGTTGACAACCATTATTAAGCTCCTAGCAGATAAACTCGGAAGGCATTTTCTAAGGCAGAGGAGGGAAGGTGAACTTTTGAATGCTGTACATCTATTATTTCTGTCCTGGCTCCTTAAGGAAAAAGAGGATAATTTTCCAGAGGTAAAATTGGTTAAGCATCTCACTGTAATACATACAAAATAATAAATAATTATTCTGTAAACGTCACTGCTACTTATGCAGTTCAGGCTTAGATGGCCCAGGGATCTATAGAGTCCCTAGCCACCTGAGTTCACAAAGTTGCAACACCCTGTTTCTCAGATGGGGAAATTCAACGCAGAAAGAGGAAGTTGTCATTTTCAATACAGGAAGAAAAAAGTGGAAGCAATAAAATAGAAGATAAAGAGAAAAGAATAATGATCATTTACTCCAAAAGAGACACTGTTGGCTGGGCACCGGGTGCAGGGCTGTAATCCCTGCACTGGGGAGGCTGAGGCAGGAGGATCACAGTGAGTTTAAAGCTGAAGAGAGACAGAGACAGAGACAGAGAGACAGACAGAGACAGAGACAGAGAGAGAGAAAGAGAACATTATACTGCTAACATTACACATACATCCAGCTATTTTTCCTACATGTGTACGCACAAATATGCTATGATGAGTTTGTACTGAACATGGTATTTGGTATACTTATGAAGTGAACACACAAAACCTAAGTCAACAGATGAAAGCATTCAAAAGCCATATAAATCTCTAGTTGGAATAAAACAATCATTCTCGTATGTTAGTTTCCAAAAGAACCATCTCAGGGTTGGTTTGTTTGTTTGTTTGTTTGTTTGTTTGCAGATCCCTATATTTAATTCCCTCAAAGATTTGGAAATACAAACTCTGTGGAAAACTTATAATTCTGCTCTTGTTTGTTTGAATTTCAAACTAGAGCTCCACTCAGTTGCCCTGGCTTTGCCTCCCAGAGTGACTGGGATTACAGCTGCATATGGCAAGTTTCTGCTTAACGTTTTCTTAAAACAAACACTCCAAGTAAGTCAGATGCTTTGGTTCAAGGACCACATTTTAAGAAAAGCTAAAACAAAGCTTCAAAATCATCCAGTCCAGGAGATCTTAATCCTGGGTCTATGAATTACCTGGGGCAGTTCAGAGGGTGGAAAGGTTTAGTGAACCCTCAGTTCACTAAATTACATGTGCTATTTTTGTTTTGCTTTGCTTTCAGACAGGATCTCACTATATAGTTTGGGCTGGCTTTGAACTCACAGGAATCCTTCTGCCTCAGTCTTCCAAGTGCTGGGATTACAGGATTACAGGCTTGTGCCACCATGGCTGGCTACATGAAACATTTATGTATGTGGATTTTCCTGAGGATGTTTGTAACTTTAAGTATCTCTCAAATGGCACCTATAACTCCAAACCCAGCCCTCACTCTGAGCTAGCCTTTGCTCATGAAAGTGAGGACACTTATTAGTGAATGTCATCCATTACAGGCAAGAAAAAGCCATGAGCAAGTGTCTTGTCCAGTACAGGACTCTGGTATTTATTAGCCTCTCACAAAATGTCATTTGACTGCCCCACCATTAATAGCACTTGGCCAGAGCTGCATCCTGGGTACAGCAGTCCTTAGAGGACACATGTCGGAGCTGAGTCCTCAGAAATCACTTATGCGATCCTTGCTGATGGACTTCAGCCCTTCTCCCGACACTGGAAGTTGCACAGGTTTTTTTGGTGCTTTTTGTTGGAACCAGGGATTGAACTCAGGCCCTTAAGCTTGTCAGGCAAGCACTTACTCTACTGAGCCATCTCTCTGGCCCCTGCACAGTTTTAATGTTCAGCAAAACCCTAAGTTCCAGAAGAGAGAATAGTGGTAAAAACATTGAATTGGCAGTCAGAGGAAATGGGTGTGGGGGCTCTCTTCCTGTCAGTGTGACTTCAGGGAAGTCACTTCATCCCTTTGACCTTCTGTGTCCTTATCTGTAAAATGAAACCATGGGACTGCAGCTGTGTTTCTCTCCCTGGTTGGACTTGTAGAGCTTCAAAAGTAGAGCTATGTTTTGGCTCTATCCCTTAAGGTTCTGATTCAGCTGATCTGGAGTCAAGCCTAGGCATGGTATGTTTCTCAAGACAGCTCCAAGGCAGCATTAATAGGTCAGAAATGGTTGCTCAGGTTGCACTAGCTTTATAATCGTATGATTCTAGATAGGTAAATACTCGTTTATTAAACACATAAGGAAGTAATGTGTCCCACTTGACAAATCACTGCCCTTTATCTCTTGCAAATGTCATACTTTTACAAAGAAACACAGCAAGCTGGGCATGGTGGTGTGGTGCATGCCTGTAATCCCAGCATGTGGGAGGCTGAGGCAGAAGGATTTGCCTGAGTTCCGTGCCAGCCTGGGCTACACAGTGAATTCAAAGCCAGCCTGAATGACACAGCAAGACCATGTCTCAAACATAGAAGCAAACAAACAAACACACCAAAAAGAAACTCAGGAAAATGTGTGGCTTTATAATCTAAATCCACCCTGCCAAAAGTTTTTCCTCTGGCAGAAACAAACACCAGGCCTTTCTGTTTCCAGATCACAGTGCAAGGAGCAGCTCTGCACTTTACAAAAGAAAGTAACCTGGAAAGGCTGCTTTGTTGTTTGGACTAAATAATTCTTAGGAAAATGCAACTATGTAACCAGTAAAAAGATCAAAGATTGGGGCTGGGGAGATAGCTAAGCCCCTGCCTGGCAAATGCAAGGACCCTGGTTTGATCCCAGATACCACATGCTTTCCTGGCCCCGGGTGTGCTGAGCCAGCTACCAAAACCAGGCATTGTAGTTCATGCCTGTAATCCCAGAGTTGGGGAAGCTGAGACAGGAAGATCACTAGGACTCCCCACATAGTGAGACCCTGCACTAAATACATAAATAAATAAAAAGATTTTAAAAAATCAAAGATTGGCATGGGTTGGAGGAGAGGGAAAATACATGCAACACCAGCAAGTTTTAAGGTGAGGAAGTTATTCTGTATGACCCTGGACTAGTGGCTATGTGACATCACATGTTTGTCAAACTTTAGGATGCACAACCCAAGGAGTGACTGTTGGTGTAAACTATGGCCTTCGGTGAAGAAGGATATGTGGGTGTTGTTCACTGCTGGCCACTGGCCAGGGGAGGGATTTATTTAGGACTACACACTTTCAATGTAGGCTTGTGGTAAACCTAAAATTCCACCATTAAAAAACATAAAAATTGAGAAAAAATAAAAATAAATAAAAATTGGGGGGCTGGGGAGATATTTCGGCAGCATAAGTGCCTGCCTGGCAAGCACAAAGATCTGGGTTTCATCCCCACTACTGCATCCTGTGCTGGCCCCGGAATCCTGGTCCCAGCACTAGGGAGGCTGAGACAGGAGGATCACTAAGAGTCTGAACTGCATAGTGAGACCCTGTACTTAATCAGTCTATCAATCAATCAATGAAAACAAATTAAAAAATACATTTTTTTAAATGTCTAAAAAACAGAAAGCCTGAGGGAGATGCCTTTAGCCTGGCTTAGAGTAATGGAAGCTGAATGCAGAAAGGGATAGTTCTGAGTGCTTTTTTGGGGAAAAGCATTAAACAATTGTTTCTTAGTCAGTTTTTTCAATTTTTTGAGACAGAGTCTCACTATGTATTTCAAGGTGGCCTAGAGCTCACTTTGAAGCCGAGGTGGTGATCCTCTTCCTTCAACCTTCCAAGTACTGGGATTACAGGTATGTGTCAGAATGCCTGGTTCTTCTTCTACTTTATTAAAATATATAGTACATTAGCATTTTCATAGCTACCCTACTGTTTCATTGCCCACCAGAAATGCTTAGTCGTAACTGAGACTCAGTACCATTGCCAAAGCTCTGTCCATGCCTCCTTTTTCTCTGTTCTTCAGCCTAAGCGAGCACCATTCCATGCTCCACTCCCATGAAGTGAACATTTTATTTATTTATTCATCCCATACTGGGTATCAAACTCATGAACTCATGCTTGCCAAGCAGGCACTGTGCTGCTGAGCTATATGCCTGGGCCCGAAATCAACAACTTAGATGTCTCATATGCGAGACTTTGTGGTACTTGTCTCTCTATGTTTGGGTTATTGCATTTAACATAATGATCTCTAGTGCCACACATGTTGTTACAAATAACAAGATCTCATCCTTTTATGGCTGAATAGCATTTCACTCTGCATGTGTAGTACATTTTCTTTATTCAACAGAGAATGAACACTTGGATTGTTTCTATTTCTTGGCTATTACAAATAGGGCTGCAGTGCAATCCCTTTACTTACGACTTTATGAATTTAAACAACAGTAAAAATTGTTAGCAAAGAAAATAGATTTGGTGGCAATTCTTTAAGTGCCATTTAACCATATATCTTGATTTGAGGGTGCGCCTTTATAGCATGGTGAAGCACTGGCAATGTAGCATGGAACCTTAGACAACAGTTCTGTAGAACTCAAAGGGAGCTGTAGAGTAGCTCCACTGCCTGAGAGCGATGTGCCCTTGAACAGATCATTTACCCTTCCTCACGGTATATCAGGTTTTTATGTTCGTTTTCCATTTTTAGACTTTAAAAAAAATTTTATTATCTATTTATTTATTGGATAAAGGGTCTCACTACACAGTTCAGACTCATAATGATCTTCCCATCTTAGCCTCCCCCGTGCTGAGATTAGCAGCATATTGGAGGGAGTGGGAAAAGATGTGGCTTTTTTATACAATACAGTTCTATGCAGCCATAAAGAGGGATAAACTTGAGACATTTCTAGGTTAATGGATGCATGTTGAGACTATACTCTACTGGGGGTTTTGTTTGTTTCTTTGTGTTTGTTTGTTTGTGTTGAGACAGGGTCTTGCTATATTGTTTGGGCTGGAGTTGAGCTC